CCCGCGCCCGCCGGCCGCCTCTCCCCTCCTCCGGGTGGACTCGGGAAGGCGGGGAGGGGGTGTCGGGACCGTGGCCCCAAGGGCCCGGGCCGGGGCGGAGTGTCGCACTGGGGCCACGGGCCGTCCCTTAACGGGCTGTCCGCCGTGGCTCTGCCGGGCCCCAGTGCCGACCCTTTGTGAGGCTGTCAGTGCCCCTGTTTGGGATTTCATTTCTGGACTCTCTGAACCACTTGGAGCGGGGAAAGGGGGCGTTGTGACTTGGCTCAAGGTGAAAATAAAAGCCAGACACGGGGTTGTAATGAATGCATAGTGACCTGTGAGCTTGACAGGCACTTTCCCCCTAACGTGCCCCACAGTGTGAGTCAAGCTGTGTCAAAATAAGGGAGCATTTGGTTCGCATAGTTCTAAGCAAGTGCCCTTATGATTGACCTTCTTACCCTTTGGAATGTGTAAAGTATTGAATAAGAATCTTGCACGAAGGTTCTGAGTTTAAGATTCTCAGTGCAGGCTGAGAACAACCCTTGCTTTCCACAGCAAAGATCTCAACTGCCTCTTGGCTACTCTGAGACCAAAGATGAAAGTTGTTTCTTTGCTTATGTGGGTTTTGGGGAGACCCAGCTATGGATGAGGAATAAGAGAAGAAAGAAGAATGGGGATTCTTTTGTTTTCTGCACAATAAGTGTGCAATTAGAAAAAACAATAACATGGTTTTTTTCTATCTCCTTCGATTTTAGCCAGCATAAGCACATTCTTTATTTGTACTGATGGTGTTTGGTGAGCATTTGCAAAGACTGAGGAAAGGAATAACCTCTGGCACCAAGAATCTTCTCTTGAATGAGGCCGCGGAGGGATGATTATTATGCCTTATGGGGAATTAACCCTCAGGTTTGGTTTTCAGTTAAGAAAATGAGGCAGAAGGAGGTGTTAACCAAGACCTTCCAAGGCCCAGCTGCCGTCTGTAGGACTCCAACCAGCCACGTGTACATGTTTAAGAATGGCAGTGGGGAGTCGGGGGACTCCTCTGAGGAGGAGTCACACCGTGTGGTTCTGCGGCCCCGGGGCAAGGAGCGCCGGATGCGCGGGGCCCACCACCCTCACCAGCCGGAAGCAGGCGAAGTGGTGCTGCTGCAGCGGGAGCTGGCCCAGGAGGACAGCCTCAACAAGCTGGCTCTGCAGTATGGCTGCAAAGTAAGACACTCCTCCCGCGGTCTGCCCCTCTGCCTTTGGAGGAATGCAGGAACAGCTCACTGTGGGGTCGGGACCTGGCTGCCTTCCTGACCCCAGCTAGGTGGGAGAGGCCTGTGGTAGCAACTGAGGCCTCCCTTGTTCAGCCAGAGATGAAAGGGAGATGGGAGTACTCGTAGCTCTGGACCCTGGCTCACAGGGAGTGCGCGTGAGTCAGGAACAGGTGATGGTGCGTAGGGCTGGAAATGCCAGGCAGACTTTATCCCAGGTTTCTTAAGCATGCTTGCTTTTATTTTTCTGAACTTTTCTTGGTGGTAGCTTACTTGACTAGTTCTTTTCTAGAACTGCATGATCTAGCTTTTGTGAGCTGCATATGTATATAACCCTTTTTTTCTCTTCAATTATGTTTTTAGCATTCAGAGTGATTAACAATGCCAAAGTAAGTAGAAAAGTATTTATAGAATTGATGTATTTTTTTCTTAGATTTAAACTATTTATTAATATTTCATTTTGCTAACACTGTGCTACACATTTCTATGGCCTTCTCTAAGATTGTCTAAGCTACTTAATAAAAAAAAAAACTTTTCCTCCTTAACGTGTCTGTTATTTACTGACTAAACACATTGTGTGGAATATTGCAGTGTTTTCCAGGGAAATAAACAGGCTGGTCTCCAGGGACATACCGTGGTCTTTAAATTGTACTGACATTTTTATTAGGACTCTTTCAATCCACTTCTGTAGGCATACCATCTGGTTTATAGATCATGGGCTGAAAAAAGGAATCCTACCCTCCAGAGGTCCTAATAGATAGAGTAGTCTTCTTGAAATGGTCATGCCTAATAAACCCAGAAAGAATATATTATGCCTTTGATAAGTGATCAGTTTTACTATTTGAAGTAAATGTGCTCTTAGTTTATTAGGGCAAAGACAAAGATTTTAAGCATCTCATGTATTAGTTTCAGGATACAATAAATGAAAAATATTCCCACTCCAATTCAGTTAAATAATAAAAGGAGTAGCTGAGTATTTAAAATAATGGAAATGATTGATTGGAATCAGGCTATAGTTAGAGGTCTGTTGGCCGCATTTATTTTCTAGTCTTAAGAGGATGTATGAGCTAAAACTTCAGGGTCTATCTCTGATGCTTTCCTCTACTTCTTAAAATCTTCTTAATATTTGATTATAGAAGGAGTTCGTCATAAGCTTTTTGTTGCTTGATAAAATTCACAGCAATGTTCCTTTCTCCTGATGGGATAGACATCAGTCCACAGCTTCCTGCTTGATCTGTGATTCCCTGCATGTTTCTAATGATAAGAAGTGTGGCGAGATCTTCAAAGTGAATTAACTGTAGGTCCCTTTGATTTAAAAAATCAGTTTATATGCTTCACAGTACTTCTGGAAAGAAAATCTTGAATTTACATGTTCAAAACATGATTACAAGTAAACAAGATTCTGAGTGTCTAGAGCTGGCTGAGGCTTTGTGTTTGGTGAACGCTAACATCTGTCCCCTAATTTGTTGGGTTCTGGCATGAGAGGGAAGTCAGGCAGACGGGGGCACTATTGCCTCAAAAATTCAAAGAAGTCGAAAAGTCTGTAGCGTTTGTTTCAGTGCTGCAATTATTTCACCTAAAACTGTTTTACTGCAGTCACACTTTGAACAATTTTTTTAAAAATCTGTTTTCCAAAACAATCTTAAATTGTTCAAACCTGTAAATCTATAGGGAAATTCAATTATTAAGCTATACGTGAAGACTGAGTGAAAGCTAAACAACAAAGTTATGCAGCCTAACTCGTTCTGTGTACAGTTTTCCCATCTCATCTGATTCTTAAGTGAAGTAGGCTTGGATCATCAGAAAGGTTAAGGGCCACTTTTTGCATAGTAGTTTTGAGGAGCTTCACATATTTTACGATGTTTGTCTTCTTGGCTATCCTAGGTCGCAGATATCAAGAAAGTCAACAACTTCATCAGAGAACAAGACTTGTATGCTTTGAAATCTATTAAGATTCCAGTGAAAAACCATGGGATCCTAACAGAGACCCACAAAGAACTAAAACCCCTCCCAAACCCATCTTCAGAGACCAAAGTGACCATGGAACTGCCGGAGCTGGACACAGCAACCACAAGTGCCAACACCCAGGCCAACCAACTGACGGATTTCTTTAAGGGGATTGATCAGAATATTGAGCACGTAGTACAGTCAGAAATCTTTTCATGGGAAAGTTACTACATAGAGACCTCGGATCAGCCCTTGCTGCCAGCTGCTCTGAAGACGACAACAAATGGTGCAGATTGTGGAATTCAGTGGTGGAATGCCGTTTTTATCATGCTTCTAATTGGGATTGTTTTGCCAGTCTTTTACTTGGTCTATTTTAAAATACAAGCTACTGGTGAGCCCCCTAATAGCTTGAACATAACTGTCCCCAGTGGTTCGATGGCTATGGGTGCAAGTCCAGAGCAAGCCCCCAGATTAGTGATTCCAGCGCCAACCATCACTGCTTCAGACAGCCAGTTCAGTCAGACCACCCCGGCAGGGAACTAAGCTCTTGTTGTCAAGAAATTAACCCAGCTTTAGCAGTTGGCTGTTGATATGCACCAGCTGTCATTGCCATAGCCTAGGGGTGCTGCCTTTGTTTTCCTGGGACAGGTGGATGCATTTCCAAAGTCACCGAAGAGTTCTTGATCACACCAACCCTGGGGAATGGCCTTGCCTAACCCCAGGCTGAAGGATCCCAAATACCCATGCCCTCGGCCTTCTGTCTTCAGAGACATGCAGCGAGAAAGCCATTTGCCTGTGTCCGGTGACTGTTTCTTGAAGACATTTAGTGGACTGGCCATGTCTTCACGGCAGCACTGTGTGGGCCCCCAAGTTGGACATGCTCGCAGGGAGAGGAATGGCCTCGGCCAAGGCACCTGCAGCGTGGGATCCGTGTGGGTCTCCTGGTTGTGGCAATTCCCCCTGCTGTGGAAGGAGGACTGACTCCAAGAAGCGGCATCCTATATCTCCCTGGCAAAGGTTGCTGTGGAGTCGTCTTGGCATGTCACCTTATTTTGGAGCATGACAAATTACATTTGTAAGAGGCCCACTTCATATCTGCCTCTTCAGTTAGCCTTTGTGAGGCAATGCCATGTCTCGAATTGAAAAAGCCCTAACTCCAAATTGCTACACTATTGAGTAAATGGCAGTTCTAGTCCTTGTCCTTTTAGAGCACAGAGTCTGACTCACAGGTACGTCTTAAGCCAAACACATGGGCCATTGCCCAGTTCTGCAGGAATGGCTCTCTGAATTCTCCAAGACAGTATTCTTGGAAAGATCGATTGCTGGTCAGTGTCTGGAGAGGAAGATGAGTACCCGTGGCTGAGGTTCCACACTTGGGGGTGTCTGAGGCTGTCGCCAGGCCAGTGTCCCAGAGAGCAGCTGAGCCCCTGTGTAAAGCTGAACCGGGAGTTCTCCCTGCTGCTTTCCTGACTCTAGTCTTGGGAACTCTAGATCCCCCGTCCCAGAGTGCGGCTCCATCCTTTCTCCATGGTGATATGGTGATACCCCTAGATGAATGCTATGTACACTGTAGCTCATGATAAAAGACCAAACACTTCATGGAGGGCTAGAGGTGACTTGCTGTGAAAGGCTGTAGAGGGGACCTATGGCTTGTCCCTCCCTGACAAGGCAACAGCAGTGCTGCCAGTGGGCTGGGGACAAGAGCCTGCTGCTGCCTGGAAGACCGTGGCATAGGGAAAGGAGGTGCTGAGGTGGCTGGCAGCCCAGTCTCTGAGGTCATGGACCGGGAGGAAAACGTGCTGCTCAAATGCTGGGCTTCATGATGGTCATGGCATTTGACACATCAGGTCTGGAGAGACGTTTAAAAGATCTCACCTTGTAAGAGGGCAGGAGTGGGCAGAACTGCTTGAGGTAGGCTTCCAAGTTCCTTCTCTCGGTTGTGAAAAAAGTTTGCCCAGGGTTCAATTAGCACATTTAAATTATCTTCAAAATCATTTTCTTAGAGACCAAAATGATCTTCAGGATAAAAAGAACTGAACTTTTGCTACAAGAAACTTTTTGATCAGTGAGTGCTTTTCCAGCCAAATGTTTATGTTTGATGTGCCACAGAGGGCCACAGCTCCCTCTAACATGTCACCCTAACCTCACCAAGCAGGGCTAGAAGTCCCATGGGAAAAATCACTTTTGCCAGGCAAAGGATGAATGTCTGTATCCTTGACTTTTCTCTAATGGAATAAAATCGTTTCGTCTATGAAGGAAAACTGACTCCCCCTTTTCAAATTTGGGGATTGATGATTCAGAACTAAAAGATGTGGGTGGGATGCTGCTGGAGAAGATGGAGGTGTGCATCTCAGGAGTGAGGACAGAGCCTTCTGCTGTGCCTGGACTCGGCCGCCCAGGGCTTGTGTGTGCCCCAGATGACACGCACAGGTGAAGGACACAAGGTGGGAACCAGCATGCTCAGGCGGTGCGAACTGCATATGTGCTTTACAGTTGTTTAATTAGGCATACACAAACACCACGAAGCTCATTTCCTCCATATTTTACAACATCTTCAATGTCTTTGGGGAGTTAATGTTTTAAATAAATCATTTTGCTATAGTCTTCAGTCTCTCTAGCTGATCTGTTGTGCTTACCATTGAAGCCTAAGGAATCCCTATTGTCAGGCAAGTGATGCTCCGATTTTACTCTGGAGAGAGGAGGCTGCAGAGACTAAGCAGGCGCCCAGAGCAGCGAGTGTCCAGAGGTGAAGAAGGTGTGGCCTACTTGGGAGCTTGCGATCCAGGGAGCAGACAAGGCTCCTCACTCAAGGCCTCTGGGCTGCAGCGGCGTAGAGGGAATGGTGGGAGGAGACATCATGGAATTGAAGAAATGGAATTGATAGGAACCACTTGGGAGGGCAGTGTAGAAGGGCCCACAGTCATACCAATTTCTCTTTGGGAAAGGCTGGGCTGCAGCCCTAGGAGCAAAATCAACCCCATAAGCTGGGTGCTCACTGGATGCCACACCGTGCTCTGAGCTTTATACGCTAACTCATTTTGTCCTCACTAACACTTCACAAGGTAGGCACTTATAGCCCCACTTTACAGATGGAAAAACTCAGCTGCCTAATACCAGGCAGCTGGTAAAGGGGCATGCCAGCTCAGGGGTTATTTTAAACCACCATTCCACTACCCTGAATAATGTCCTACTCTTCATTCATAAACCTTCCAGAACACCAGTTATGCCAAAAGGCGATGTGACATGAGATGTTAGAGTGGAGATATGGTGGCACATGCTGGGCCCCATGAGAGGGACACGATAAGTGGCTGGTAAAGCAAGAAATGTTTCCTAGAGGACGTGGCATTTCCTTAACTGACACCTGAAAGAAGGGATCTAGTAAAATGGCAGTGGATGGTTCTTTTCAAGGAATGCTCATCAGTGTGAGCTAAGGTCTAGAGGCTGGAAACCTTGGGGAAGGTGTAGACAGGGAACTAGAAACAGCCTGGTGGCCTCTGGTAAAGGAAGTGTAAATGGGGTTGTGGGAAATGTTGCAGTAATGGCTTGGGACCAGGCTCTGGGCAACCTTGAGTTCCATATTCAAGTGACTTGGACACTGCTTGCTGGACAGTGGGAAGCTATTGAAAGTCTGAGGGGGAAGGAGGCAAGAAGGCCACAGAATCAGAGAGAGTGTGAAAGTCTCTGCAAGGGTGAGCGTCCATAAAGACAGTCTGCATGAATGGGTGAGTGAAAGTCCATCTGAGGGGTGACTCGAGATCAAGCACCCCAGGCTTCCCTTCAGAGTTGGCTGCAACCCACCACTGCCCTGAGATCAGAGCCCCTGGTGTGCAGGATCTTCAACCATTCTCGGAGGTCTCTTGGAAGGAGGCAGTGGAGGTCTGTTGCTCTCAGCACCTGGTACCCGGCCCCTGCCACCACCTGCAGCACTGGCAGAGGGAACCGTAGAGAGGATGCAGAGAGGAAATCTGGAGCTAAGCCCCACTGCAGGCAAGGAGACACCAACTGCAGCCATTTTCTCTGCCCCAGGAAGGACAGAGACCAGCACTGGCTGCCCCCACCCCCACCCCACCTGGGACCTGGAGGCAATCTCCACGACCCTCTGGGATCGATCATTGCTGATCCAGAGAAGAAACTTCAGGAGAGGACACAGAGAGATGGATGCCCCACCCTCATGCTGGACCAGACCTAGACACAGCACACCTGAGTGGGAAACTTGGCAGCAGCAGCAGCAACAGCAGACGAGTTGTGTGAGTCGGGTTCTGGTTCCCTCTCTTCCCACAGCAGTCCGTGGAGCTAAGAGCCACCTGACTGTCCTGCGCTGAGAGTGATGGGGAGGGGCTGGAGACCGGAGCCTGCTCCTTACTGCAGAGCAGCTAGAAGTGGCGATGGTGCTTGGGAAAGGAACCTGAAGTTCCAAAAATGGCCACAGAGGGAGCTCTTTTTTTCCCCCTGCTTTTGTTTATGTTGTAGTACTTGTTTTGGTTTTGGTATTTTTTAGTTTTTCTGTTCATGTATGGGTATTTTTGAGAGGGAGTGCATCATCAGGTTTTTTTGTTGTTGTTTACATGTTTGTTTCTTTGTATGTTTTTGTTTATCTGTTTATTCATTAGTTGGTGCGCTTGTCTGTCTTCATCTTCTTTTAGTCTCCCTTCTTCCTTTTTCTGTTCTTCCCTTTTACATATTTCATTTTGCTCACAGGGGGCATATATATGGACAGATTGTAAGGTGGTGGGAAGTGGGTTCCAGGGGTCCCACACACCTGTCACTGGATACTGTGATCTGCAGATAGCTTCTGAACTACATCTCCCCCTTACACCTTAATCAAATCTCAAAACTGCCAAAAGTAGAGGCCCCTGTTCCCAGTCCAGTTTCAAAATTGAACAAATCCAGAGGGTCTACCTAAGGAAGACTAAGGGATTAAACAAACATTATCCCTCCATCACTGAGCAACAGAATTAAAGAAGAGGGGGAAGGGGGAAGAAAACCATTACAAATGAAGAAGAATCAAAGGAAGAACTCAGGTCCCATACAGAAGACCCCTGGGAAGACAGCATCTGAGAACACAGACTTTAGAACTCAAACAATGAAGAGCTCCCAGAATGAGTGGTCCCAAAGCACAAACCTAGAGATATTAATAGAGAGAATGAATAGAAATGAGGAAAGACAAGAGGAAAGAATGAAGGAGTTGATAACTCAGATGATGGAAATAAAGAATACAGCAAACAAAATAACAAACTGGCAAGCATGGAAAGCAGAATTAACCAAGCAGAAGAAAGAATCTCAGAGCTTGAGGATGAAAATATGGAACTAACCCAAACGGTTAAACACATAGAAAAGAAGCTTTAAAAGATGGAACAAAGCCTAACAGAGATGTGCGATTTTATCAAGAGGCTGAACCTAAGATTAACTGGCATTCCTGAGGCAGATAGAGAAACAGAGACCACCCTGGAACAAACATTCCATGAAATTATCCAAGAAAATGTCCCTCATTTCATCAGAGATGTGACCATTCAAACACAAGAAATTCAGAGAACCCCTGCAAGATATCAAATGAGAAGATCAAATCCTAGATGCATAGTAATCTGTTTACACAAAGTGGGTATAAAAGAAAAAATCCTAAGAGCAACAGGAGAGAAAGGTCAGACTACTTTCCAGGGAAGACCAGTTAGAATAGCTGCAGATATATCTACAGAAACACTACAGGCTAGAAGAGACTGGAGTACAATCTTCAATGTTCTCAAAGATAAACAATTCCAACCAAGAATTTCCTACCCAGCTAAGCTAAGCTTCATCAGTGATGAAGAATTAAAATCTTTCCCAGACATTCAGTCCCTAAGAGTTTATGCCACCTCCAGACCAACTCTACAAGAAACACTTAAGAAAGTAATACACACAGAAGAAAGAAAAAAAAGAATGGCCACACTCTTCTCCAGAATACAGGAAAAGGATTGAAAACACACAGATATGTCAACCCCCAAATCAAAAGAAAACCAACCAACCAATAAACAACAACAACAAACTCCATAAGCAACGCATGACAGAATAAACTCTCACATCTCAATAATTACCCTGAATGTGAATAAACTAAATGCACCACTGAAAAGACACAGAATGGCAAACTGGGTGAAAAAAAGTACTGTCTTCAGGAGACTCATCTTACAAGAATGGACTCTCATAAACTCAAAGTAAGAGGATGAAAGCAATTTTTCAGGCAACAAAAAAAAAAAGAAAGCAGGAGTTACAATCTTAATATCAGACAAAATATCCTTTAAGTTATCAAAAATTACAAAAGATATGGAAGGTCACTATATAATGATAAAAAGGTTCAATTCATCAATAAGAAATATCCATTCTAAACATATATGCATTCAACATAAAGCAGCTTCTAGGTAAACTAAAAAAAGACATTGACCCAAACACTATCATAGCTGGGGACTTAAATATCCCACTAACAACCCTAGATAGATGATCAAGGCAAAAAATCAACAAGGAGATCTGGAACCTCAACTTGATGGTTGACCAAATAGACTTAATAGATACCTACAGAACACTCCACCTAACAACCATGGAATATACATTCTACTCATCACCACATGGAATGTACGCCAAGATCGACCACATCTTTGGACATAAATCAAGCATAAAAAAATTCCGTAAGATTGAAATACTGCCTCGGACCACAGTGGAATAAAAATAAATATCAACACCAAGAAAGCTACCCCCAAAACCCACAAAGACATGGACTCTAAACAGCATCATGCTGTACAACTAGGCCAACACAGAAATCAAAGCCGAAATTAAAAGATTTCTGGAAACAAATGAAAATAAAGACACATCTTCTCAAAACCTCTGGGATACTATGAAAGCAATATTGAGAGGGGAATTAATTTGTTTACAAACACACATAAAGAAAATGGAAGGATCACAAGTTACCAGCCTAACAAATTACCTAAGGGAGCTGGAAAGACAAGTCCGCCAAAAACCTAACTTCAGCAGAAGAATCCAGATCACCAAAATAAAAGCCCAAATACGGGACACAGAAGACAAAAATATCATAGGAAAAAATCAATGATACAAAGGATTGGATCCTTGAAAGGACAAACAAGATTGATGGACCCCCTAGCCAGACTGACCAAGAAAAAGAGAGAAAAAGCCCAAATAAACACAATCAGAAATGCAAAAGATCAAATCACAATGGATCCTGAAGAAATACAAAAAATTATCAGAGACTACTATGCACATCTGTATGGAAACAAACTTGAAAAATGAAGTGGAGGAATTTCTGACATCACATAACCTCCCAAGGTTGAAACAAGAAGAAATTGAGACATTAAATAGATAAATAACAACCCAGGAAATTGACTCCATCATAAGAAAACTACCCACCAAAAAGTGTCCTGGATAAGACGGTTTCCCAGTGGAGTTCTATAAAGCCAATCCTACTGAAAGTATTGTAGGCAATCGAAAAAGACAGAACTCTCCCCAAATCATTTTATGAAGCTAACATCACACTAATACCCAAACCAGGTAAAGATCCAACAAAGAAGGAGAGCTACAGGCCAATATTCCTGATGAACATAAATGCAAAAATTCTCAGCAAGATT